AAAAGAGTTGGCGGTGGGTGGTGATGACTAGCTGCCTTCCCTCTAGTTTTACACTGTTAAATTAGGGACGGCTAGCGCAGATAGCCCTCGTGTAGCTTTGCGCGAAATTCAAAACAAACAAACAAAATTTTCTGTTATTTTTAATTTAAATTTAAACTAATGTATATAAAATAAGTATACAAACACATTAGATCGAACATTTACAAGCCCATTTAATTTCTTAAGCTGACGAACATAAATGAATTTTGTGTATATTTCTTTCAAATATAGATAATTGTTGTTTATCATGGTAAAATAGCATCTCGGTACATTGATACGACTGTTTCTCTGCGCTAGTCTTCTTAAGTATTCTGAATAGTAAATAGGTTTTGATTAATGGAACTTCTAGTATATAGAGATTACTCTCGTGATAGAAATAGCATTTACAATACGTTTGTGCAGATACTGGTACATAACAAGCAGAGACATTGTAAGTGAGAGTCAATTAGTCAAACCGCGCGTTAGCCTGTAGTACCAAAAACGTGACACAAACATGCATTATCAAGAGCGTGACACTTCAACATGCGTGAAGTGCGTGACATAAATGCATGATTCTACTTTCATCCAAGGTTTCTTGCAAAATAAATGTTCGAATGTAGGCGTAGAGAAATTCCTGATTTTGCACTTTTCACATTACTACCTAAGCATACAGAAATTGTAAATACTCCAATGTAGCATCAACGTGAAAAGCGCATTGCAGTTACATGTCCACTGCTGATCTTTTTCACATTTTAGTTCAATGACTTGTTAGAAAATAAGTATATAACCTGTATGTATTAACAACTTTGCTTCAATGCCGAATACTTCTTTCAAACTCATTCTGTTGATTATTAAAAAAAAAACAACAACATGGACTTAAAAACTCAACCTACAGTGCTTGCCTCTTATCCAACCTTCGTTAAAATTCTCCTGTTTGCTTTAATAAGTTTAGTTATAATGATCTTTAAGAAACTACTATTGTCTATCATAATAAATCAAGTGGAATTATCTAAGGATTAAAATTAAGTTGGAATCGAAATGTTATTAAATTAATACATTTCATAATTTAATACCTCATATCAACTGTAAATAATCGAATCTTTGCAGAACAAAACTTAATAACCTTGTTAACAAGCGCGGCTTTTTGACGACCTTATTACACAGCTGTTTCTTTTCCTCTTTTTTTTTCTTCTTCATGCAATCCGTGAATGATAAAAAGGTCAGAGAACATCAACAAATAAAATCATTCACTTAAGTCCAATTCAGTCACCTTATCCGCTAAAAAAAATAGTGCGAAAACTTGGTTTGTTGATGGATTACGATTAAAATCATAACAACAATAAAGGGGGAAAATAAAAGACGTAGATCAAATAATAAAGGATGGAAAAGAACCATTCGCGACTGATTACCGGAAGCTTGGTTGGGCTTCCTACCAAGACTGTTGAGTGACAAAAACCAGTTGTTAAGCTGAAGGAGCATTTTCTACAGCTTTAATCAAAAGAGCCGACCATCAGGTGGGACGAATCACTAAAGGACTGATTAAGGTTACGACATCTGCTACATGCTGTTATCCGACTTCATCTGGCTTGCTATAAATACCATGGTTTTATATTTCACAAAACGCCGTGGTGTGAAATGTCTTTCTTACACCTTAAAACGCCTGGCGCCCCCACCCCCACCCATAGGCTGTTCAGTTCTATGGCCCAGTGGTCAAATGAACAACATTAATGAATGAAATGATTGCAAAGAAGTGACCTACTGGCCTGTACACACACACACACACACACACACACATATATATATATATGTATGTATGAAAGTTAACTTCTTTTTCTGTTGTTCTTAATTTATCTTTCCCCCACAAAAACAAACATTTAAAAGCTCACGGATATAAATAAAACAGAAATATTCTAACAACAAAATAGTTATGTTGCTTTTAAAACAAAGAGAAAAAATGATAATTATTGAAACGAAGACGCAATATTTCGGTAATTCAACTGACCCGAATATAATAACAACTGACATAGATTGGCCCACGACTTTATTAAATTATTAATGTGCTATCTATTATTTTCTCACCGCGGATATCGAAACCGACCTTTAGCCGCTAAGTCAATGGGGGGGGGGGGGGGGCAGCAGAGATATCTAAGTAATAATAGAAAACAGGCAGAATCACGACGTCAACAACGGCACCAAGTAAAACCTCAAACTTCAAAACCCAATACTTTTAATCATCACTTTACCAAATATTTTAGTAGTTCAAAACGATATATGGAGGTTAATATCACTTTATTAATACAACGGCAACTACGCCAGATGTGGCGCCACCGGTGAAATATTTACAGCCTATATATCTATTTTAATGTAAATTCCTAACGATTCGACAGCACGGCTTCCTAGGTACATAATATTATGGCAATTATTATAGAAGGAATTTTTGTCACAGTTCTTTCTGACGAAGAATATTCGTATAAGGAAATGCGAAGAAACAAAGCAAATTTCATAGTATCGATAATACATAATGTTTTTTTGAATTGATGAAGGCTCACAAGTCAAATTAACAAATGTTTCCATGAGAAGATTATCAAAGAAACCGAAATCACAACAATATCATTTGGTAAAATATCTTTCAAGTCTCTAGATTTGAAAGTTGGGACGAGTTCAGTGGCATATAGTGGGGGGCTCGAATATCGAACCTTCGATACGCAGTCTAGCACGCTAACCTTTAGGCCACGTCCAACCTTCACGTAGTAGAGAATCTGTGAGAAAGTTTTGTATGAAATGGACATCGTCATCCTTCGCAGAAGCTTATCACAATACAAGTTGTGGTGTCGGATAACAGTGTGTAATCAGACCGAATACGATGTGTGACGGAGGAAATAGTTTCAAAGGCAGCACACGACCTGGAACTGCTATTAAATCTCAGTAATCTAATACCGAGAACCCATTTTTCATCCATGGACTCAAAAATGGGGCAAAACAAAAAAGGAGAAGAATAATAGATAAAGAAAAAAAAAAGAGTTGAATTATAATGTATTGATTGGAATGTCTCCACTTTTAACATTCAAAATGACCACGTTAACAAAACATTGTCCTACCTTTTTTAAATACCCTGTATCAGTTCCCACGAAAGCTACCGTATGTTTGGCAGTGGTGGTGCTGGTCACTGCGGTTAAGGTCACGTTGGGAAAGATGGCTACAGCAGTCGCTGTGATTGGAACTGTCCCATTGAGCTTCAGGGTTTCGGTGCAGAAACTAAAAATGTTTCCACCCTTCTGTGAACGGTAAAACGAGAAATCAAAATGAAAGCAGTAATATAACGACAAAACTAGATAAGCAAAAAATGAAATGTACTAATAGCCGTGTTTTATCTTTCAGGAAACGTAAGTTTTAAAAAGATCCGTATTCAATAATAAATGAACATTCAGAATAGGCCTTAATATTTGTCACAGATACATCGTTTTTAAAGCTATTATACTAACATTTAGCTTTATAGTATCAAAAGGGTAAATTGGGCTCCACAACAGTTATTTATGGCGAAAAAACAACTTTGTGCTGTTAGTAACGCTACAAAACTATGCGGATATGTTTTCGTTTGTTATTAATTTGTTAACAATAATACAAACACTTCCATTTCACACTCTAAAAGTATTGTCTATGAAGCTTGTAATATTGACAGTATTTCAGATTACTGCTTTCTTTGGTTTAAAAGCTATTTAAGATCTTTACTTTGGTCACAATATAGTCTACACATATTATTATAGACCAAGCGCGGTCCAGTGGTTAGCGTTCCGGACTGTCGATCCCGGGTTGCGTGGTTCACACCAACAACAACAACAAAAAAAATCGCGCTCCGCATTTTATGGCCGTGGGTGCGTTATAAGAATGACGATCAAATCCCACTAACCGATTACAGTAGCCCAAGAGTTGGCAGTGGGTGGTGTTCACTGTCTACCTTCCCTCTAGTCTATCACTTAAAAATCGGAGGCGGTTAGGGTAGCCACCTCGACTATCTGTGCACGAAACTCCACAAACAACATACTATGGTTTTTTTAACCTTAAAAAATAAAAAATAAAACGATGCGCAAGTTTCGTTTCTGAGTGACGTGAACAACCACCAGAGGTCGCTTTCAAACACATAAGCATTCAATTCTCTTTGTCTCCCATTATCAATTTTCATTGGTTTCATCAGTCTCTGGTATGACACGGCAGAGAACAAGAAACAATATGTCGAAAATTATTAGTGCACAGTGTATCAATGATATGGTTTTGTTTATTAACTGAAATGTGAACAAAAATGTGCAAGTGGTTATTTACTTTACCATTAGTGTATTCTAAATACTCCACGTATCGTATAATGCGGCTCCAGACTGCAAGAAGTAATCGTAAAATTATTTTAGCTCCCAATCATACATATTAAGCTAAAAATTGTGCGATACATTACATTTTATTTTATGTAACGCCATTAGATGACGTATTTTAACGTCGAAGCAAAAGCGTACTAGAAAACTTACAGCAGTCACAGCATGTAACACAGTTGTTCAGTCTCAGTATTACTTCAGATACAATGCTGAAGTGTGTGTGCTAAAATAATGATGATCTCAAAGAGTAGGAAGGTTTCAAGGCAGAATATAGGGCGGTAATTAATTATTGTTTATGCGATGACGTAACCGCAACTGTTTAATACTGATGTTTTGAGGAATGAGTTGACTTTTTTTCTTTATCACGACCGGATCTTAAGGCTACTTGCGATCATGTAAGTTGATTACTGTACATGTATAGCCTGTTTCACAAAATCTTTCTCAACTTAAATACATAAACGATGTACTGATTGTTTGTTCGTTGAATTTCGCGCAAAGCTACTCCAAGGATATACGCGCTGGCTGTCCCTAGCTTTGAAGTGATAAACCAGTGGGAGGGTAAGTATCAACACCACCTACTGCCAATCTTTGGCTACTCTAATCCAATAGTGGAATTGACCGTCACACCATAACACAACACAACTGATTTTGTTTGTTTGTTGGATTTCATATAAAGCTATACGAGGGCTACCTGCGCTAGCCGTCCATAATTTTGAAGAAGTGATAGACTAGAGGGAAGGCAGCTAGTCAACACTACCACCCGACAACTCTTGTCAGAACTAATAGTGAGAGTTGACCATCACTCCTATAACGAACCCACGGCTTCAAGGTGTGAAGAGCGATTTTTTTAGGTCGGTAACGGGTGTAGAACCACGGAACTCAAGCTCCACTTCTAACTACTATGTAACGCAGTAGGCAGTTGAAAAGCAACGTACGTCTACCTTATAATCGAAACGATTTTACAAATATTATTTTAACGCCGAATAAAAAAAATAAACATTAACAGTATCAAAAACAATTATTCAACACTGTATAAAAAGTTTAACTGATGATGAAAATTACTTTTTTTATTTGGAAAGTAATTTTTTCCAGTCTTATTTATTCTATTCAATTTAGAGAAACCGAAAATGAAGCTAACAACGAATCAGTTTCTTTCGTTGACAAATCACTTAACAGAAATGAACAATTGGGTTATGCACTGAGACGTCTAATGCGACTACGTGTTTCAGAATAAACATCAAACAATTCAATTAGCCAAGTTATCGATGAGATATACTTTCTAACAAAT